TTCAGGGTTTGGAGGTTCGGGCTTCGGGTTCTACAGTGGTCGATTAGCAGTTCGATCAGAGTATCAGTATCAGAAGGTTTTTACAGGGGTTGCTTCTGTGGCTCAGGGTTTACCTAGACCCTGAATTGTTGTACGGTTGTTCTTGATAACCTTACTCTCTGGCTAGGATAATATTTTTGATAATGGCCAGAAAACCACATAACCAAGAACAAACGCCAGAGAAAGTCTTCGGGTTTTGTCCAGATTCTGCTAAGTGAGCCTTTCAGGTTGCGGTTTCAGTTGTCGACTAACCCTAAGCCCGAAATCCCAAAGACCCTCAACCCAAAATCCTAAACCCCAAACCCTACATCCTTAACGCTAAATCCTAAACTCTAGCTCCTAAACCCTAAGTCCTGAACTCTAATCCTACAGACCCTAAATCTCAAAGACCCAAAGCCCTCCGAAGTAACGGGTTTCCAAGTAGAGGCTTTCCTGCATCCTTGCCTTCGACGCAATATACCTTTTAAGGCTCCTCGCAAGAAGGGATCTATAAGGGTTTATATAAGGGCACTATAACAATTAAGAATTCGAAATATATACCTTAAATTAGAGTCGGGTCCCTAATGTGACTTAGGTTTTAGAGAAGGTTGGGGTTTAGGGTTTATAAGTCACCTTTGCCTATGGTAGCAAGTTTGGGGGGTCCCAACCAAGGACATAAGCATAAGCATTATACAAGGATATCCCTACATTGTTGGGCTTCTTTATAATTACCGTCCGCGTGTTTGGCGTGTCCAGCGTGTTGCACCCTAAAACCCTAAACCCGAAACCTAAAACCCAAAACCTCCAAAGCGTAAAACCCTAGAACCCTGAACCCAAAAACCCCAAACTGAACCCTAAAGGCCCTAAAGATGTACAAGAAGGATCCGCGGCCTGGGCTCCATCGCGAAAGTGAAAACGGTGAAGACCGATGTAGCAGGTTCTGGCAGCTTCAGCCACAAGAATTGTCCTAAACCTCAAACCTAAACCCAACCCTACACTTTCAGTGTCAAGTCCTTAACCCAAAACTCTCAACCCCAAACCCTAAACCTTATAACTCTGCCGTATACGTGAAAGGACTCTGACAGAGCACAACCCTGACCCTCATTTCTAAACCACGCCGTATTGGTCGACGCGCCAGTTTTTCCGGTTGCTTCTTGAGGTCCTCTTCTGCCGAGCGCTCGGAGGCATGGGACTACTGTTGCTAAGGGTTGTGACTTACAGGGTTTAGGCGGTTTTTTGGTTTAGAATGAAGGTTTGGGCTTAGGGAATACTACCAGGACCCCCAAAGTGTCCTTCAAGAGAGTCCTTATGGTCCAGAATCACGGGCATTTGGGGTATATTAGAGGGTAGTTGGGGCAACTAGATAGGGCTGAGGGTTTTGATTTGCAGAGTTTAGGGTTTAGCCTTAGAGTTTTGATTTATAGGGTATCCGTAGGGTTTTGAATTTGGGTGGTTTAGATTCAGGGTCTGGGGTTGAGAATGATGGGTTGTGATCAGAGTTTGGATTTATGGTTTAGGGTTTTGACTTCAGGTTTGAGGCGTAGGGAGTTTCGGGTTTAGCTTTCATCGGGGATAGGTTTAGGGTTTAGGGCCCTGGTTACGGGCTGTGATGAACTGTCGAGTTTGTTTCCCTAAACCCCAAACCCCTAAACCTTAAACCCGAAACCCGAAACCTTAAACCCAAATCCAAGCCTGACAACCGTCACTCCGAATGTTGACCCCTCATCAATAAGCCCCAGTACCTCAAGCGCGGTATCCTGAGATTCAGGCCCTTGAAGACAGGGAGCTTATGAATCAGGCGTCTACAGGTAAGACCTGAACCCTAAACCGTACACATCCGAAACAGGAGGTTTGAAGAGACGGCGGGTGAACCCTGTGATCGCTGGCGATGTCTTCCTTGGGGATGTTCGCTGATCTGAGTGCCTTTCGTGTTGAGTCTTGTGCAAGCACGAATCTGGGCCTGATGCCGCGGAGAGTTAGAGTCCACTGCACCCTTCAACAAGAAGCCCTAAACCCCAAACCCAGCACCCTAAACCCCAAACCCAGAACCCTAAACCCTGAACCCTAAACCCTGAACCCTAAGCCCTGAACCCTAAATCCTGTTCCCCAAACTCTGAACCCCCAAGCCCAAACCCTATAAACCTTTAAACTCCTCAAAAATGCCCCAGCCCTGAGCCTTGAATCCCAAACCCTGAACCCTAAGCCTTTAAGCTCTATTATGACTAAGCCCCATCCCCATCTCGCAACGGCCCTCAGTGATTTGTCAGCGAGAAGATCCGTAGGACTTTTTCAAGAAGACAATGTAAACCTTGAGTCCCCTCCAGAAACAACTACCTGTAGTCTCCATTGCAGTTCCTTTTTATGGCTGAAGGGGTTTGGGGCTTAAGGGTATAAGGGTTTAAAGATTTGGGATGTAGGGTTTAAGGTTCTTCAAGATTTCCCAAATATATATATATATATATGTCTATCTATATCTCTCTCTCTCTATATATATATATATACATACGTGGTTAAGCCAAGGAAGGAACTACAATGGGGACTTAGCCTCAACGACGAAGCCGAAGCAACGCCTGCCTAAGAACCTCGGTGAGGTGGTCGCCGCGTCAGGCGCCGCGGTTAGGGTTTACGGGTACCTTGGGTTTACTTGAGTCCAATATGGGAGTTTCGGGGTCCTCATAATAGGGATCCTACTATT